CACACACACACACACACACACACACACACACACACACACACACACACACACACACACACACACACTATCTATTGAATATAATGATGCCATTGGAATCTTTCCAGTGGGCCTCAGAACCGGGCTTTATGGAGCAGAAAAACAGAACTATGTTCTTTTTTTAAAATGGTTATTTTAGAACCCCCAACAAAACATTAAATAAAACTCAAACTATCATTTTATGAACTCAGGTATTATTTTTAAAAAGAACAATATAGGAAATAGGAAGAAAAATAATAGCAGGGTCTTTGAGTCAACACAGCCTACAGCTGAGAAATGTGCAGTCATGGAATGATAGCTGATTAGAAACAATGCACAGAAGTAGAAAATGTATCATGCTGTTTTTGGGTGACAGAATGTTCCCCATGGTCTCTGCTTTACTAACTAAGTGCAGGTTCAGGGGTACATAGCACTATCACAGTTTAAACAGTGGTGAAAGATTTGCAACACCTGGTATCCAGCTGAAAAGCAGTACTTTTGACAATTTGAATAAAACAACTGTCTTGCTTCTTATAAATGCATGGTCAGGTCTTTCAATTTATAAATCAGCTCAGTTTACTTAAGCTCATGAATAGACTTAGGCACTGATTTGTTAAGCTCTAAACAGCATCAAAACTAGCCTCTTTGTAAATGGGAATAGCGTTTCACGTCCATTTAGTTACCAGCTTAATGCTATAGCGTGTGTTTTGCAGCCTTAAAAGCAAAACAACATCAACGATAACAACTTGCAAATGAAAGCCTTCAGTTTTAATAGTCTAATTTTTCTGCTTTAGTATCTCCCTCGACATTTGCCTAACTGCAAATGCACAGTGATATGCTACTTTCTAAACCTTGACAATTGCATTTACACATATACTTTATACCCAAAAAAGAAATTAAATGAAAGGCAGTAAAGAGAGACTATTGAAACTATTGTTCTCTGAAATGCTACTATTATAACTAAGAAATGGATAAATGGGAAAATAGCTCTTTGGAGTTTGTTTGTGCTATGGTTTGTCAGTACTCTATTGCATGGACTATACAATTGTAATTTTCACTTTACACTCCATAAAACCCTCACCACATTCACCATCTCTGAGCATCAGCAGATGTTGGCCTTTGAATACTTAATAGGGAAACTCAAATACTTTCAATCAATGGTGACCTGAAAGGATGCATTGTTGACCTCTTTGAATGTTTGTAAATTTCTACACTGAAGTGATTGATATCATTCCCCCATTAACAATTGACAAAAGTCTGTTTAGCATCCCTTGGAAAATCCAATACCTTTTGCAAGTCTATGCATTGTCTGGTACAAACTCCTTTGGGGCAGAGTTAAAAAATATCCCAGTCCTTGAGGAAAGAACAGAGTATGAATACTGACTTGTGAATACAAGCAAGAGATAATGACTATGCTGCTTGCCCCTTCCCCCACCCTCTTTTTTTTTTTTTTTTTTTTTTTTTTTTTTTTTTTTGTGGCG